CTGTAACCATGCATCCCATAAATCGAAACATACCTTTGTGATTCACGGTTGCTCAACAACTAGCATTTTGAATGTATCGAGATTCAGGTTAATCAAATTATTCGTGAATATTTTGCTTTACCATCGATTGCGTGGATGCGAATTTAGTCCTTTGCTTATAGCTTGGAAGTTCATTTTTCAATCCATTCCAGTTCTTGTATTGATCATATCAAGTGATTCGAACCGTAGGTGAGCTTTGCGGAGATGTTTTGATTGTTGTTGCAATTATATTTTGCGATGGATTTCCTGTAGTCGTGTTTCTTTCCCGTTTGGCGTTTTCATCGAAATTTGAAGTGGCGTGAATTTTGGTTGCAGAATTGAGTGTTTTTTTTTCATGTGTGCCAATTTCCCTCCGTTAGTTCCTGAGCCGCTTTGGTGATGGATCGGTAGCAGGAATCTCTGTCGGTGTTTGGGGGTGCTTGTTTTTTCAGCGGAGAATGCGTAAGAAAGTGCACAGGATGTTCTACGATGTGATGTCGCACCAGAACGCGGCTGTGATCTGCTTCCTTTGTCTCTTGGTGCTCGTCATTTCTGCATTCCAATTCGGCGAGGTTCGTTGTTTTGCGTAAGATTTTTTTATGTTTTGCGCGTATTTTTGTTGCTAATTTTGGAATGGATTTTTGCAGGTGTGGGTTGACTGGAGCCGAGGAACGTACGCATCTGTGTTCAATCAATACGATGACAATATTTTGGGGAAATCCTTTCAAAGCAAGTGCGTGATTGGTTCATCACAACGATCTTGTCTGAAACGATTTTCTGTGTACAGCATAATGACTTTTTTTCTGGTTTCATGCGGTTCTCAACAACGAAATTGTTCTGGTTCCTTTGATTTTGTTGGAGAGAGAGCCTTGCTTTACGATCTGTATAATTCAAGGAATGGAAATTTCCGAAGTGCTTAGTGGGAAATTTATGTGTTCCAACTCCAAGCAGTAAAATCTTATTTCAACAAGTAATCACTCACAAAAAAGTCTTCTTAGGTCCCTGTCCAATATTCATGTTGTCAAAGGACTTACTTTACAACAAATATCTTGTTTCCGTGAAGCTAGTTTACTTGTCCTATGAATTATACTTCCTTGAATTATACTTGTCCCATTTTATGACAAGATTTTATTGTATGAAGAAGGGGTTTGATCAACTTTGAACTCAAGAGCAAGAGGTAATTAAAATTGATTCAAGGAACTGAAATTCAATTGGATATTGATCCGTGGAAAGGTTGAATGTTTCAAGCGTATACAAGTGATGAATGGACAAGTGTGAGGCTCTTTCGTTATATCTTCATTTGAGACTGGAAATATGTAATTTGGAAGCTGATTCCGAGGTTTACTGATACGTATTTAATGCTTT